CCTCCTGAAACAGGCGGAGCCTCATATCCGAATACTTTTTTTCTTAGTCTATAGTGACACCATGTGGATGTTAAATTTGATGTAGGCTAGCAGCGCTATCGACAGTAATGCCACATACAGTAGGCTACAATATTTATAGTTTCCCTTTTGCCATAACATCCTTAGGCGAGTGACATTTAGATTTAGGCTATTTATTTAGCAGAGGCTTTTGTCCAAATCGGCGTAAAAGTGATAGCACGTTGCAACAATGCAGCTAATGATAATTTTACTGGATGAGACTAACCCATGGATTACATTAAATTTTAACACTTTGAACATATTACACGCAAAATCTTTTAACACCGTTAAAGATTCATAGGCGTAGATTTATTTTATTTATTTATCTTTTTTTTTTTTTTGGGGGGGAATCATCCCCCCCAAAAATATCACATATAATTCCTATCGTTTACAAAGAACACATATGGTCAATATATCTCATTTCATAATTTAATTGGTTTTTTTTCTTACAGTTTCTATTGGAGAGGCCATACCTTCCGCTAAAACGGTTAATTCCCAACTCCAGCTACAGCAGACAGACGTTCACTTCCAGACCCGCCAGTATAGATACAACATGAATAGCGGTGAATGGACAAGGCTTAGCATGTAAACTTAACTGTTGCCTATGGCTTACTCACTGGGGGCTTTGGGTGGGGATGCTGTAAAGCGCTTTGGGACAATGTAATGTTGTGATAATGCGCTATACAAAAATAAATTTGTTGTTGTTGTTAACTCACTGAAGATATCATAACTAAGAAAACCAATAAAAGGTGATGTGAAATGGTGGAATTTAATCGTCTCATGTCGATTAAGTTTCATGAATATTATCATATTTGACTGTGCAAACTGCAACTGGCTTGGTTAGTTAACAGCATAACACACATAGAAACGCTGATAACATGTCGGTACTTAGCGTTTGTGTCAGTCACGATTCTCACCCCATTGTTAGCTGTCAGGGCACAAGAATGAGTAAGAAGTCTGTCAAAAAACGGGGCCAGACCTGGCATTTATGGGGAAAACGCCATAAAGTAAGTTACTCAGTTACCAGAAACTCAGAATCATTTAGTTCCTAAACAATGCTGGCAGAAAGACCCATTTATTACCAAGAAGAGATTCAGTAAGGAGAATATCTTCTAGTTGATATTTTATGTGTGTTGTTTCATTCCGTAAAGTAAGATATGCTGCAAATCATATAAGACCATTCCCACAATCTCCTACAAACACTGCAGCCACAGACCTTCGAAACAGACAAAACTAGCACTTAATGATGCAGGATGGATTAAACGATAGGCTGCCACTCATCAGTCCACTCTGCCTTTGATTTTATTGAGGAAGACAAACCATTGCAAACAGGAAGTTCATATGTAAATAAAGAAACACATTGATACACAGATAAATGTTGTCCAAAAAAGCCATATATGACACATACAGTATCATATATGACTAAAAGCCATATATGAC